GTGCCCTGGGCAGGGAGGCTGTGCCGGTGCCGTGGGAGGACAGGCATTGATTGTGCTGCGGGAAAGGAAGCAGTGATGGTGCCGTGTGAGGGGAGGCGGTGCCGGTGCCGTGGGGGGGCAGGCGGTGATTGTGCCGTGGGAGGATAGGCGGTGGTGGAGCTGTGGGCAGGGAGGCGGTGCCACGGGAAGGGCATTTACAGAGGTGGGACAAGGCTACAGTACATTGGTGCTCGTGCTATTTTTCTGACAACGCAGTTGTAGAAAACGGTTGTTACCTGTGACCCAATGGAGCTGGGGAAGATGGGTTTAGAGCGTGGGAGGAGGCTCCGGGCTGGGGTGCAGCAGAAGGTCAGGGTTCTAGCCGGGGGGTACAGGCTCTGGGTGGGGCTGGGTGAGGGGCTTGGGGTGCAGGAGTATGCTGTGGGTTTGGGGGACTCACAGCTGGGGCAGCACATGGATCCTGTGGTCCCCCTGCATACAGCTGGACCTTCTGCCAGCCACTTCTGGGGCACAACGAAGTGTCAGGAGAGGTAGGGACTCCAGGGGGTGGCTGAAGTGCCCCTTGGGGAAGCTAGCTCCCTGTTCTGATCTTTCTGCCTGCACCTCTCCCAGACCAGGCCCTGAGCCTCCCCCCAACTCACAGAAGCCTCAAGCGCCCTCCCCGCACCTTGCCTGGAGGAGCTCTGGAGTGGCCAGAGTCCAGAGCCCCTCTGGCCTGCTGTGCCTCCCCTCCCCAGGCCCTAAGCCTCAATGCAGTGAAAGGATCTCTGCTCCCAAGAAGAACCTGAGCTTTTGAAGGGCTCCATGCAGGTTGCAGGGCAGGTGGTAGCTGCCACTTAGCATCCTGGGCTCATCAGTAATCTCTCTGGAGTCCAGGGAGGTTCCTCGATTCATCAGGATGCTGAACAACACACATCACCCCTTGGACACCTCGAAACCTGCATGGGGCTAAAGCAACATTCCTCCGGCCGCACCCACAAGCACATGTGCAGTGGCAGTGTCTCCTGGGCCTATTATACCTGAGCCCCTGGGAGGCCAACGTAGCAAGATCACCGTGTAGGGCAGAGCAGCCCTATGACTCTGCTCCTCAGAGACACACTGCCATTGAGCGCTGGGCACCACGACAGCTGTGGGGTAGGGGGCCTGCGCGCAGAGCAGTAGCACAGCACGGTGCTCTACTAGCTGATCCACCCAGGCCTCAGGAAGGAGCGATGTGGGGGGAGGGGGGAGGGAATAGTTCTTTTCTTGAAATCACTGACCCAACGTGCTCACGAACTGCCCCAGTCTGACAGGCGGCTCTCCTGACACAAGCGATACCTGGGGAACAACGTCTGGCTCGGACACGCTGTACAGCAGAAGCCTGGCAGATCGGACTGGGGAGGACCACTAGCTACCAATGCTCAGATTCCAGAGAAGTTCTGTCTCCTTTTCCTTTTAAGGAAACATCTGAGTGGGCTTGGGAGCACGATTGCCAGCACGCAATAGTTTTAGTCTATTTAGAGGAAACTAGCAGTCACTTCAGTTCATCCAAACACCAGTGATTCATCAGCTGAGAACCCGGCTGGTTTTGTAAAGGCCCGACACTGGCTATGAAAACGCTCCCCTAATAACTGCACTCCTGAGCAACTAAGGAAACGCTTTCTCCTGGATCATTTGTAGACACATAGGAGGTGACTGTATCACAGCGCTATGGAAAAGCTGAAACAGAGGTGGTCCGGACAGGCAGCAGACTGGCAGAAAGCTGACTCCGTACACTCTGCGAGGCTGGCTGACTGGGTGAAGGTGCCTTGGCTTGGCATGTGCCGCTGAAGGAGGTGCCAGGCAAGGGAGGAATGGCCTTGTGGCCAAGGCAGTGGCCTAGCTCGCAGCACATGGTGGTTCAGTTGCTGGAGTTTAGAGCCAGGAGGAGCCAGGAGGAGACACCAGCCCGATGGCCTGAGAATCCCCCCACTGATCTCTATGGCAAGTCCTTCACATCTACACTTGCTCATCCTCTGGTTTCCAACTTTTCTTCATTTACAGCCTCTTACCCATTGGGAATGGAGGCGCAGCCCCCGTGGAAATCTCAGCTCTGGCTTGTGGGCCCCTGTAGGTCTGCGGTGGAAAGTCCTGGAGCTAGAGGCAAGGTTTCAGAAAGACAACCAGGCCTCCTATAAAACGGCAAGTGACAGATTCCAGCACAACCCTTGGAAGTTGTTCCAACTGTGAGTTGTTAACCTTGCACCTTAGTTCTCCTCTGGATTGTTTGATATTGTGCTAGCAAGACCCCAGCTACAGCCACTAAAGCCTCTGTACGTTATCCACACCGGCCTGGTATGCTGGGGGACGGACGGATGGGAGACATGGCTCTGCACACTGCTGAGCTGGAGCTGCAAGCACTGGGAGCTCTGTCCACACACTTCCCTTGCCTGTAGGCTCCACCCCTGGAGCGCCCATTGGCTGGGAGGGGTGGCCATTGGGAGCTGCAGTGGGTGGTCTTTCAGGTGAGCTCATGGCAGCAGGCAGAGACACCAGTGGGGCACTCCCCTAGGTAAGTGCCCTGTCCCCCAACCTTGTGCCCCAACCCCTGCCCCCACCTACACCCCAACTCCTGCCCTGAGCCCCCTCTTGCACTCCGAACACCTTACTCCTCACCTCGAGCTCCATTCTAGACTCCAAACACCTGATCTCCAGTCCCACCCCAGAGCCTGCCATCCCCTCCCTCAGCTAACAGCCTCCTCCCACTCTTTGAACCCCTGCCCTGGCCCTGCCCACTAGACACCAGATTGCCTGGGCATTAATTACCCTTTGGCCGTGTTAACCTAAAGCGATTACGCTTGTTGAGTCTCTCCGTGTCAGATCTGTCTGCAATCTGCTCCTGGAATCACGTTTCGCTCTTCTCGGCCCTGTTTGTTGCATGCAATCTGCCTTTTTAAAAGGGTGGGCACAAGACCTAGACGCAGCCTCTAGCTGGGGTCTTGCTAGCGCAATATCAAACAGTGTTGGTGCCACCTAGTTCTGCTTGGACTGTACTTTCCTCCTTCGCCACCTCACTGCACTGGTGTCACTGCAGGAAT